GTATAGTATCTGTAAGGTCATCAGAACTTTAAAGATACGTACACAGACAAGTCAATTGCAAAAATAATACATATGTATTACGTATGTATGCATGTACATATATATATGCATATGTATGTATGCATGTATCTCAGTCAAATGCCCCAATTCAGAAAGGACCTATGCATGAATCAGATCTGGGACACTGGAGGTATTTTGGGCTGGTAATGCAGTCCTTAGGCATCAACACTTAGGCAAAATGTAAAGGAGAGGTGTTGAAATGTAACTAATGACCTCAATTCTTCTAAGAATTTTTGTTATTTTGTTCTTTTCCACTAAAGAGAGAAATTCTTGACAATAGGGATAAAAATCATAGTCCTTGTATTCACATTATGACTTAAGGACTTCTTTGGGACATGAGAAGTATTGTTATTTTTCATTTTGTCACTCAAAACATCTGGATTTTAGTGGTTTTATAGCACAAACGGCTTGTTCAGAATATAGCCTTTCCCCATTTAGAAAAATTTATACCCCCATTTCATTCTCATCACATGGCTAGCATATGTTTCACGCCAACTTTATTCAAGGCCAAAACCTGTCGTAACTCATCAGGCCAATGAATTACAATAGGAATGTAAAGTGAAGCAAAAATGTTCCAATCAAGTCAGTAAAAAACTCTACACCAGGCTGGGAAGGAGGGGAGCGATAAATAAATATCAGATTCCCTGTTGCTCTCAGACAGTCATCATAACTGAAAAGAAGTGGAAGAAAAGAAATAAAAGACAAGAGGCAGAGCTCACTTTTCCTACCATCTATGCAGAGTATTTATATATTTCTCTTTTAAAAATAACGAAGCAAAACCTGTCAGAAGAAACTGGCTGAGGATGCAGAGCAATCTGACAGGGGACTGGACTACACAACTGAGCCTGGCTAAAGGAAAGAGCTTGGTAAGATGATAGTGAGGTGGGGGCAATGATTAGGGCAACCTAACAACTCACTACTCGCAGCAGGAGAAAGATCCTACCCTTCGTCTGCACCATCTTGAGCATTTTGTTGACCCATCAATAAGCCATCCACGTCAGAAATCAATTAATGCCTTCTTGCCAAGTAAGAATCATGATGATATCATCGATTTAGTTCAGGTGTAGTCTGGCATGATTTCACCAGAGGGAGAGCAGCAGCCCATAAGCTTTGGATGGCACAGAAGACTAAGGAGTAGAGCATAGGATGACACCGTCAAGGGACAATACTGAAGACAGACTGTGATTTCTTGGAGGAGGTCCCCTTCGCAGAAACAAGAAAAGGAAGGCTCATAAGCAGACATTACAGAGTCAACAGTAGAAAAATAAGATACTCACCTCAAGGCTTTGAAATGCCTTAGTAAAGTGTTCTTTATTCCTCAAGTGCTAATCTACAGCAGATGATAACCCTTTGTTACTATCAAGTGTCAGACTTGCTCAAGCAGTAAAGGTCAGCTTGGTAGATCTAAGGGTTTTAATTCTGAAGAACAATACAGATATCAGTAGTCATGGCGCACAATGGAAACAGAGGAGTTCTTCACAGATTTCTCTTCTTAAAAGCTTAGGAAATCTTTCTGCAAACACTCTATATTCAAGTATGTTAAGCCTGTAACACTGGGAAATGTCAGAATGAAGGTTACACTTGCAACCTTAATTCAGTCTTTTGCACATATGCATTATTTATACAGTACTTAAATAAGTGATCAAACACTGTATTTTCTATTGGACATCTGCCTCAGTCAGTGCACAGCAAGGCTTGAGTTTAGGAACGAGTAAAAATTTTTAAGACAGGAACGTATTTCCTCTAGGTTCCTTCAGCTGTGTAAGTCAGAAGGTAAACACTAACCAAGGACAGCAAGAAAAGGTAACTTACTGCCTAAGACAGGAGAGAAACGACCAGGAGGACTGAATTATATACTTGCTTTGGACAGAGTGATGCTAAAGGGACGGATTCGTAAGATGTTGTGAGCTGATTTAAAGGAGGTCCCATTTGTTTTCCTGGATGCACGTTCCCACCACTTATATCAGCTCCAGCATTTTTCAGACCCTTCCAGAAGGCTCAGACCTGGCAGAGGATAACCAAACAAAAAGACTGCATAGTCTTCTGCCAGATTCATGAGTCAAACTGCTTCACAGAACTGGTACAAGATAGAGGGTAGCACTGCATGGTTGAGTGAGGGGAGCAAGACCTCCCCAATTATAGCAGCCGCAAACTGTCACGTCCACTTAGCTGCCTGTGAAACTGCAGTTTAACACACACACAACATTTCAGAAGTGATCTCGGATTTTCTGGACATCAGACTTGAGAATATAGGTTCCAAACTGCAAATGTGATCAGTAGCCACATTCATACCTAAAGCCAATGACAGCTGCAGCTGGAATACATGAAATACCACTGAGTACTTGGAAAAACTAATTTGTCAGTAACTTGTCTATGTATTAGCTCCCTATTTGCAAAACGGAGATAATCCCGTCCTTCCCACCATAAGATTAAGCGCTTGTGAGAGATACAGACATCAGAGCAGCTAACTGTAGAAAAGCCTCAGAGAAAATGAGTAACTGTCTTCAGAGCCAGGCTCAGCAGCGTTCTAAATAAGGCCTAGAACAAGGACATAATAAAACACTAGGCAGCCACTCATAATTTAGCATGGCTTATTCTGAAAACGAAAACTGAAGCAGAAAACTTGTGGAAAAAATATCAGGATATATGTGCACAGAACGGACTACAGCAGATTCGCAGAAGACAGACTTCACAATCTAGATAAAGTTCTTTTCCCACAGCTGCGAGCGTTTCATTTTTAAAAAGGGGACGCATGGCAAGAATGTCTGAACCCACACAGGCGTCTGTCCAACGCTCATCCTTAACTCCGGTTATTCTGCAGAGGTTACTTTTGAACAAATATATAAATGAACCAGTGATCCTGCTAGCAGAGCTCTCACCATTGAGGAAAAACCTGAAATATCGTACCGCTACGTAGCAGGTTGGGAGGCTCCGTACAGCCAATGACACGAACAGGGAGGGAGCTGCATCGCCAGGAGCTGCTCCCCTGCCACATGCTGAGAGCACATGGAGTCGTGGGTGATACTGAGGAGAAAGAGCAGGAACAGCAGCTCCACCCCATCCTCGCCTGTCTGCCCGCTGGCACCTTCAGAGACCAGAGTGACAGGGCGCAACGTGCCAAAGCAGAAGCCACAACTCAGTGGGAGCCGAGTAGCTCATATGTTTCAGCAAGCCAAAGGATTTACTAAAAGTACCTCTCCTCACGGTCGTCTTAAAATCACACCTTCTAAAACTGTAATAGAACAATCCAGGATTAGTAAGAACAATATAGGAGTATGCTTTACAACAAAGCCGATCCATTTAAATGGGTCTTGGGAAGCCTGCGTTGTTTCACTTCTTGCTCTGTGCCAGATATACTCCGTGCCTGAGACAAGTCACGTTGCTATTGTGTGTACTGGCTCCTCATCCATACAGTGACAGAGATATATACTTCCTAAGATACTAGGAGAATATACATAGTAAACCTTGCAGTAAATAGTAAAGAGGCATTCAGACAGAATTGCAATGAACCATGACAGAAAAGCCTATACAATATTAATTCATATTCACTATATGAAGCCTCATATTCACTATGTCCGCAATGCGTCATACGTTGCAGTAAAAGTTGTCATTCTATAAAACCACAGAAATGAAATTTCTCAGAACTCAAACAGCTCAGTTTCAAAGTGAAATAAATAAATGTAGAAACAACTGCAATACATAAACAGGAAAAAAACAATTCTTTTCCGACTGTTTGGTGCTTTCAATAACTGCAATGCATCCCAATCAGTACAGCACCAAACGGAGCAATCCAAGAGTAAGGAAGAGAGGCACAAAGAGAAGTCTGCAAAGGTAAAATTTCTCAGCTCCCACACTGCCTCCTGTTCCACCACCTATTCCAAACTTTTGCCAAACGCAAGCCCACTTGCAGCAAACGTTAAAGAACAACAAAGTCATATTACTCTGAGCTGAACGCACGAAATTGCACACTGAAGGGGCCTCATAGCAAACAAGCTACTAGCAGCCTGTAGCCTTACCCAGACAGGGACCTCCTGCTTCGCCTCCTCCTTTGACCCAGCTTGCACAAGCAGAGAAGTAGCAGCACACTGCAGGGCAAAAGCATGGAGCTACACCTGGCATCTTGCCAACTAGCTGAAACAGATTTTGGTACTGTGCTGTTTTATATATAGCAAGAAGCAGGTCCCAGCCTTCTGCTCAAGCTACAGATTTCCAAAGGGTGTGAGGAGTAATTGCTTGTGGAACAGGCTAATCTTGAAGTGAAGGAGGGCACAGGCGATGGTGTGAGCAATACTGGCAGAGCTGCTGGATGTCAATCAGGGAGGAAAGAAATGGCATATCTATGGATAGTCATACGAATTAAAACAAACTATAAAAACATTGCATGAGACTGGACCTTTCCGCCTTTGATGTTTTAAATCCTGAGCATCTCACATTTTCCTGCTTCTGTCCACATGGACGCATCCATAAGTATTTGTAACCATCTAAGAATAACTGAAGGTAGATTAGCAAAATTGAAAACACTGTCTTTATCCTCTCAAGATACTTCTAAGGGAGCACAGAGAGCAAAAGGGGAGAAGAAAAAAAGAGCAGTAAAGTATATAACCTGCCAGACCTGAATTGCTTTACCATATGAAACCTGGATAAAATGTAAATTAAGGCTAATCAACTTACATCCTTAGAGCAAAAAAACAAGCATAGGTAAAAAGAATCTAAAATCTCAGAAGCTACAAATAGACATTAGGTTAAACATGTACAGAAAATTCTGAATCAGCTCTTCGCATGCAAGTATTATGATTGACTAGAAGACGTTTACTTAAAGAAAATAAAATATGTAAAAACTTCAGCATTACACATGCTATTCTGTTTAACGCCATTATGAAACATTTAACTTGTTGGCTTAGGGAGAAAAAAAATTCTAAGGAAAAGTACTGTGTACTTACTATCATTTAGTGTCGTGAAGTCCAAGAATCGATACTCATAGCAAACATCTGTCTTGGTTTCTACCTGGGGTCTCTTCAAAGTTGAATAGATATTGCCAGGTCGTTTTTCATCGTGCTTCTCTAGCTTGTTCAATCCACAACCCATTTCAGCAGCTCCTGATACAAAGAGGCAAGGAAAACGGGAGGAAAAAAACCACCATTTATTTTGGTTTCTTGTTTTCACTTTTGCTTTGTTATATTCCGTTTTCATGCGCCACCGTATCACGTTAGGGTGATCTTTAGCTTTTCAATACAAACTACATACAAACCATATGAAATGGCAGAATTTAAACAGATGCCGTAATACCGACTGAAAAATTTACCACTCATATCAACCCTGAGACATGCTATTATTTTATTGGAAAACTGACAGCCTAATGCATGAATTTTGCATCTTTTCAAATGTGTGCAATACTACACACTCTGTAAGACACATTCCATTATAAAAAAGCAGCATAAAATGCAAAATAACATTGCTAATATGTAGGTTGACAACTTAATAATTTTTTTGAACATGCAGTGAGTATGACAGCATATCCTACTGTCTTTTACACAGAGCTTTATAACATTGAAATTACTATTTAGATTTGTAATTCTGTGGAGAAAGTAGTTTTGTAAGGACAGAAATACCAACATTTAGTGAAGTACCTCACTTCCTTCCACCTCACTTTCTCAGGTTAACCAGAGGAAATAATGGTGCTTTACAGAAGCCATCTTTAAAACAGAGAAAGAGGCATATGATCACAGAACTGGGCTAAATAAACCCTTTCACAAGCAGCCAGTCTACAGCATTTTAAATAATTACTCCTAACAACCACTTCTGCTGTACGTCAAACGTTTCTCAATATCCTCCAGATTCTGGCTCATCTGATTGCAACTGCCAGCATGAAAAAATGGAGGAATAGCTGGGTGAAAACACTCAGGTGATGTAGGAAGGGCCCAGTGTCCCACACTGCAGGGGAAGCCAAATCCTCTCACCCCTCTTCAGCAGCGCTTGTCCGATCGAGGCAAGGGGGGATTATTTCAACCAACAGTTAGTACGAGAAGATAGAGACACACACCAGCGAGGCACCTGATTTTTTTTTTTGTTGTTATTATAACCCACTAAAGAACCTGTTTCTGCCTACAAAAGAGCAACTAACGCTTCAGGAAGGGGAGGGAAATGCAGAACAGCAGTGACGAAGGGTGGACCCCACAGGCCACCCTGCATGCTTTGAGGCCACCTCGATGTTTGGGGTTTTTTTTTGTTTTTTTCCCGTCCCTCATATTAACTTGTAGAGTCATTTTATGAAGAGCTACCACATTCCCACCTGTGTTTTGCTAGGATAAATACGCTCAAGTCCTTCTGTGCTGCTCCTAAGACAGAACCTCCCGTAACCACCCCAGTGACTCCCTTTTGCCTGGTTCCTGCTTTCATTTCTCTGTTTGAACACAGATGACCATATGCTTTAAATGAGATCATACCAATGACCATTAAAACAGCATTAATGCTTCCCTATCTCAACTGAAAGTAACTTGTCTAGCGCCCCTAAAAATCCTACTGCCATTTTTCAGAGCTGAATAACACCCGCAGTTTACCCTCATCTTCCCATTAGCCAAAGCACCCATTTCTTTCTATTTTTATCCACGACAGCCAATCAAGCAGTTCCCAACTTATATCAGAATTCTTTGCTCAGTTCCCATAACTTTGTTCCATTCCTTTTCCTTTCTACCACTCAGTAACAGTTCCATCCAATTCTTCCCGCATCCTGGGGCTGGAATCCTTCCCCCTATCAGCAGTATCAGCCTCCCGACTTTCTATCAGCCGCAGGTTCTCTAAGCGCACACCTACACCTTATTCCAAAGTCATTAATAAGTATACAAAAAGAATAGGACTGACCAACAGATCAAACCTTAAGAAACTACCAAAGTAAACAAGCACTGATTCAAACAGAAACTGGAAGCAAAAAGAACATTTGCTAAAAAGCCCCATGGCTTCACTATGAGCCCATCCAGAAAAATGGATCATATATCATGTGTTCCCAAACTTTACATATTTTGTGATTCATCCAACAGAAAACAACGTTCTCTGCTTATTTTGGCAGAAAGGCAAAAATCATATTATTTTAACAATTTCTATAAATGAAAGCGACATTTGTTGGGGCTTTTCTTGATTTTGCAAATTTTAGGATAAAAATCCTTAGGATGTCCTATTTCCAAAAAAAATAATATATAGATATGTATATACACACACACACACACTTTCTGCTACTATTTTTTGTAACTGCAACTACTATCATTAAATACAACAAGGACTATTCTTTCACATATACAGCAACTTCTTTCTTTTGCCTGTTCAGCTACATCCCTTCACAATACAAGGTTATCAGTGCAATATCATTAGCACAAGACTAAAACATCGTTTATTTTAATAGGAGTATAAAAATGTGCCCAATTTAAGATACCAATAGTATTTTCGTAGACTGTAATGGAACACATCTAGCAGTATACATCTGCTTCAATATCATGTTTGATATGGAACTGAAATAGCAAAACATACTACTAAGTGAATCAAATTTCTTGTTTCAGTGATGGCCCGGTAATTCTTATACATAATAAATGTACAGTATGGCATTGCGAAAGGAAAAAAAAAAATCCATATCAGAGGTCATTAAGCAGCAGTGTCTGCAACCCTTAGTTAGACAGTCTGAAACGTGCAGGACTTCCCAGACGGATGGCTGCAGAAGGAGACCTTGCGGACCTTACAAAAAGCTATGAAAAGTAGCATTTCATATCCCTGAGAGTTTTGCATTCTTTCCTAAACTGGAGTGAAAGTGCTAGAAAATACAAGCCTCTGCTTTTCCAATGGCTGCAGCGAACACTTTCCTGTGCTTTTCCGTCAAATGTTTCCTCAGCCTACTTGAGAACGCTAGCCCACCCTCGTGCCCGTTCTGGTAATGATTTCTGAAGATGATGCCAATACACAAGTCATTTGCTGTGGAGACACCTGCCCACTTGGGACAGGACTGAATCCGTGCAACTTTTCACATGAATGAACTAAGTGAATGCTGACCAGAAGGCAAGATTTTCACCTTCTAGCAACTCGGCTAAAACTTCAATCAGCATCTTAGAGGATAGATATTTCACTCCCTTCTTCTAAAAACTGAGAGGAAAAAAACAAGTTTCACAACAGCACAATCTTTTCCACAGTAATTACGATTCAAGTGCTGCAGCAGCAGAAAATAAATCTTAAGAAATAAAGTTTCCAATTTAATACTGAAGCGTAAGTATTAAAAAAAATCCAGAGATGCATAAATACAAAAACTTGTATTTTGTATGAATACAAAAACTCCTTGGTTGTTCAGTTAGAAATGTAGGTGTCAACAGGACACTATTCACCCTCCTACATTTTCCGCATTTCTATAATTTCCTACAACTTTCTACATCTGAGTTATTAGAGAGTGCTGTAAGAAATATTTCATTATTGATTCCTTCCAAGTAATCTAAACTGACTTCAGAACTGTTTTCAGAACACACATTGCTTTGATATAAGGGATGCTTATAGTTACTGCACTATATTCATTTATCCTGGCTTTCTATGTCCTCATGTGTATTCTACTACTGCTTTTATTCAGTATTAAAACAAAATTTCATCACTGACTATTTACTTTCTAGTACAGTAAATTAGAAAATAATTCTTCTACTTTTCAAAAACCGTGGAAACTAGTCAAATATTTTTGTTTCTGCAGTAGGTTCTCAAGCCTTTCCATTATGAATGTAAAAATTCATTATCAACCCATTAGTTCCACACTTACACGAAATTCCTTGAGTGAGAGAAAGAGCAAAATCTAATGAAGACTATTAACCACTAAAATGAAGACTTGGCCACAGGCTTTTACAACTACACATGCTGAGAAGACTAATTCAGTCTGCAAGCTCCTTTTTTACTTAGATTACAAATTAATCCTACGTGTGCTCTATGATCTTGCTAATGCCTAAAACTGTTCTTGTGTTCAGCCACATGATAAAACTAGAACTGAAACCCAGATATGACAGTAGATTTGTTAGTCTGTATCTAATTTTAATTTTGCAAAGCATCACAAATGGAAGCTATGATGAACTGCAGAACAACAGCAAAGTTTACAGTTGATTAATTCTTACATTTCTCTTCTGAATGACAACAAAGGTCCCCACTGGCGTTCGAAGGGCAACAGCTTGCTTCTGCAAACCGAGGGTTCAAAAAAGGGAATACAGGTTTTGTCATCTTGGGTGACAGCCCAAAGCCGTAAGCCACAGCCACAGCATCTTTTGCCTCCTCCTCCCCGTTGCCATCCCCCATGGTATACTGTAGGACTAGAGCAGCTCTGGGGAGGGTCTGGAGAAACAGAAGAGAAACCTATTCCAGCACAATAAGTAACCTACACCTGATCATTTTTCTGCAATTAAAGTTCTACTGAAACAGGTACCATCTTTTACCATTAAAAATGTTGTTGCTGAAAAATTAGAACAAATTCTAAGAGAAAAGCAAGAGGAAAAAATAGTATTTCCATTTTTAACCACCTCTGTGATCCATGAAAACAAGCGTATCTTGAATGAAATGCAGGAATTGTTAACAGCTTTATTAGAGAGCTGCAAAGTTTTCAGTTCATCATCTTCTGCAGCTTGGTTTGGCTTTCTCGCTTTACAAGAGAGCTTGTGCTGAAAACAGATGAAGTACAATGAGTCCAGAATTAGTAAAGAAGAACACATAAAAAAGAATATCATGTAGCTGATCATTTATTTTCTTGCTAATAATCGTGAAGACCCCAGGATTCCTTTCAACAAGAAAAGGGCACAAAGAAAAGAAGAAAAAACTTGCCTTCTATCCCCTTTTTTTTTTTAAATAAATGAAGCTAATTTTCTGATGCATCTTCCCCTTCCTTCACGTAACTCCATAACAATTTATCTCCAAGAAATAACAACGAAAATTACACTGAAAAGTAACAGAACCACATGGCTAATGGAAGCTTGAATACATTATCAAACTAAGTAATTTAAGGGATGTTTATCAACTAAGTATACATTGACTAAACAATTTATTTCAACTGTATCAATATTATGTAATGCATTGTGTCAACTACTTCTCACAGGCACCATTTGAAAAGGCTTCCTAAACAATTATTTGAAATACATATAAAATTGAAGTCAGCTGCTAAGGATATAGGATCAGAGTGAATATTCAACTACTAATACAAGTGCAATACACCATCAAACTGAAATGTAAACAAGGTAATTTTAATATTTACATTACAATAGCATCCAAAGAAAAGGTGCTATATAAGCAGATTACAGTACTGTTAGCTTGTTTTTAAGAGCAATTAGAGAGAACAAGCTACCTTTCATTAACTTATGTAAAGTTTTTACTGTCCAGACTAGTGACCTCATTTTGTAAGCTTTATCATGAATTATTAATTTATTTTTTGGAATATAAGTTACTTCTAAAGTTCCTTTCACAAAATTATGGAAGACAGTGCTCATATTGGCGAGTTCACCAGCTGGGAAACACTAATAGGTTTTATCCCTTGATTTTGTTAAGTCCTTTTGCCTTGGCTCTTCCTTCAGTGGGTGATGCTTAGCTGCCTCACAGGGATGCTGGAAGGCTTCCACAAATAATTACAGGACTTCACATTTGCTGTGCTGTATTGAGACACATTTATTTTCTTAAACCCTCACTCCTGCAATCCTGACCTTCCCATTTTCAAAATAATAAGCACTTCATGCTCAGCTCAGTTCCCTTGCTGGCATACGGTCACTTAATTCCTGCATCTTCCCCAGCCTGCAGAATACCGAAAGTGTTTAGTCCCCCACTCCACTCAGCTTTAAACAAATCCAGAGAAAGCTTGCAAATTATGGCCGAGTCCCTTTTCTAGCCCAGTTCAAGCAATGAAGCAGAAGAGTAATGACAAGGCAAAAAAAAAAGGTATCAGGCACAGAAGCAGAAATGAAGCAGAGGATTGAAAACACCAGACTTAACAAACTGCATGCACAGGTAAGCGAAGAAAGGAGACTAGTACACTAAGATGACCCTTTCCAGTTTCCCAGAGTAAAAGCCATGCTCCCGACATATCTGTATTCTTCTCTCTGGTTTTCCACTCCATATGCTTTTTGCGAGGTTACATCATGAGGAGGGAAGTTCTCTACTGAGAGATATTGAACTGGTCCTTTTTCAAGAGTTATCACCATACAGGTAACTATGTAGGCATCTACTCAATAAGTGATGTGGGAATGGATCAGTCATTTAAGTAACTGATGTTTACAAAGTAATCTGAAAGATTCTGAAAGACTTGTTTCAAAATATAAAGAACAAGTACTATAAATCAGCCCTATCAATTTCTGGATGCAGCAGTTGACCAATTTTTTCAATATATAGCTACTGATTCAACTAGCAATATCAGGATTTTAGACTTATTGCTGATGCGTCTCTCCTTACAGAAAGATTGCTGAAAGAATAGAATCCCAGTTTTACTCTTTGTGATTGATTCAGTTTAAATCAAATGGCAGAGCAACCAAAGTATATCTGCAATTAAGGTTTTCTATTTCAAAAGGCAAATCTGAAAAACTAACGGAACTCATCAGTGAGATGAACAGGAATGAAAAGCTGGAGGACCTGAACGCAGAGGAGGTCTGGAACACGTTTAAACTACAATACTTACATCTGCGGAATTCGTAACTTAAGGAAGTGACAAGAGAATGCATAAGAAAGTTTCCAGACCTAGAGAGATGAATTACCTAATAAAGAAGGAAAGGTAGAATAAGCACCGAGCTTCCAAGGGACAGGAAAAAAGTTCAGCAGAGAAAACTACAGCCTCCGATCAAGAAACCTAACATAAAGTGAACTGTGCCAGAAGACAAGCCCAGTAAGACAGGCCAAAGATACCACAACCAAGCAAAAGCAGCACTCAGATCAGAAGGACTGAACTGTCTCAAACCAAGGACTGTTGAGAACTGTCGCAAGGAACTGCAGGTCCAATTGCTAGAATTAAAAAACAAGCTGAGCTGGGTTTGGTATCGCCTCCCCAAAAAACAAGAAAAGGCAATGCCTACATGAAAGGAGGAGGAAAACGTAATTTAGCCCATTAGAGCCTTGCTAGCGTCGCCTCAAGAGTTTGCTAAGCCTTAGGGAAATTTTAAGAAAAAGCAGAGTAGTACACGAATAAATACAATGTGGGTTCACGAATGTTTGAACAATTCCTCTTTTTCACAAGTCACGAAGACAGCAGGCTCCTAGCATGCAGCGTGTCAAACAGGTTCATGTTATCGCTGCAGCGTATTAACAAAATATTGTTAGGTGCTATCGCCACTGTGCTGTTTGCAATCCTAGTCTCGGCTCTAGTCGCTACTGCCCTGCGTGACACCCTCTGCTTTCCTCCTCGCCGTGTCAGGTCTGCAGTGGGCAATGCTACCTGTGCAGGCTCTGGGCTCCAGCTGTGCTTAACTCTCTCTCTAAGGCGCAAAGTTGGCTTGTGTGTGTCTGCGGGCACGTGGCTGAAAAAGCGTAGGAGGAGGAAGAGCAAACAGGGTCAGAGAGAACTAATGGAGAAGAAAGCTAAGCGTGCTGCTTTGGGGGAGAAATCTGAGGAACAGCAGGTTAGAGAGGGACCCTTGTTCCTAACTCTACCCACATCCTCCCATAATGCCTATTCAAAAGATGTATTACTTGGTAGTATCACGATGCTTTCTTTCAGCACTGCTATAGCAAAAGATTCAAATGTTACCACTCATTTCTAGAAAACAGCTTTAGATTACATATTTCTGGTCAAGATAAGGAAGTGTTTATACCACTGGACAAAGTACTAGTAAAATTTCTCCTGAAATACTGCGGCTGCAAACGTTGACGAAAGATGCCTTCAAGTGGAGCAGGGCATCAGGGCATCTCGGCAGCTGTGCGGAGATGCTAAGGAGGTCTAGAGAGCTACTCTGAAAAATGCAAGAGGAAACTAAAGCAGCTTTTTTTTTTTTTTCCTAGCAAATTAAAGACTGAAGAGACCCGAAAGAAATACGCACAGGAACTTTAGATATGAATCCAACTTCCTTTAAAATTAATCTCACACCACTTTGAACCCACAGAAAATAGACACAAAAAATAGATACATTTTGCCATATATGCACAGCAGATTCAAAGAACAGTGAGTAAGACCGTAGCAAAATGCAAATCTATACAGACTTGACAGTCCTATGCTCACTGCCATTTGACGGTTTGCCATATAAAGCACAACCCTGGCAAGCTGACTGGGGATGAAGGGTAAAGTGCCCTATCTGGACTACAGAGCCAGGTGTGAAGCTGTGGGACCTCACATGAAGTTGGGGGATGAAATAAGGGTAAAGTGATCGTTCTTTTTTAAACCTCACTGATCTGGTTTTTCATTCTTTGAAAAGCTGTGGGTGCAGCTCTCCAGCTTTTCCACCACAGATTTTGAGACCACTTCATTATCAATACATTTTACCCAATATGGTATCTGTTTCCCAGTATCGCAGCTCAGAACTTCCCTCAGTATTTAATCACAGCTGTATATAGTCATTCGGTGCTACGTTCTCGCCCTCAGACCAGGGGAATGCCAGCCTTCAAGTGCTGGAAAGCCCCTTGTCTAATGCAACTAACTTGAGGTTAAGTTAGATTCCTAAAAATAACTGTTCATTCTGAGATTTTTTTTTTTTTAGTTAGAAAAAACAGAAATTAGATATACAAACACGGCCACTGGTATTGTGAAAAAGAGCGTTTTTTCTAACTTGTTTTTAAATTCCAGAAGCTAAAACTGACTGGATTCATTAAAAAGAAAACATAAGAGCAGCTTTCCATCAAGATTGCCCCCTGTAAACCGGAGATCACCGATATCATGACAACGTCCGTTGTTTTTTTCTCAAGTCAAAAAGCGTAACAGAGCTTTATGAGACCAAATATAGAACTAGCACACAACTAGGTTGCCGCTTGCGAGCTTTAGCTGAAAACGGAGTTTGTCAGGCACAGCGAACTCGCTGTTACTGCACACGGCAGCGACCGCTTCAGCACCGGTGCCACACA